GAGGGTTGCTTCTAGGAAGTAAACTTTGGAAACACACATCATATGAAAGGGTCATGAGAGAGGGTTGCTTCTAGGAAGTAAACTTTGGAAACACACATCATATGAAAGGGTCATGAGAGAGGGTTGCTTCTAGGAAGTAAACTTTGGAAACACACATCATATGAAGGGGTCAGGAAAATAAAGAGTTTAAGTCAGTGTGAGGTCGCTTCGAGTACAAATAAACAGACAAACAAACAGACAAATAAACAGACAAACAAACAGACAAACAAACAGACAAACAAACAGACAAACAAACTGACAAACAAACAGACAAATAAACAGCGGGAATTAAGTATAACAATATACAATCCAGTTTTGGTAATTTGTAACAACGATAATTGCTGAGAGAAAAATTCGTCCAGTCATTTTATTCGTAAGTCATACTAAGAGTTCTGTTATTTAGCAAGATGTGACTTAGAGCGTAGTTTTCCTGACCCTTCTGTATCAATATTGTGAACATTACAATATTATTGTAGGTAAATAGTAAAGTTGTAAAATAGCTTTGTCATTTCTACTCTTCTGTGGAAGGGAAGGTTTTTCTGTATTTTTAGTGGGGTTGATTTTGTTTTTGACTAAAGTTTTTGTTTTATGGTCTGCGTGTGTGCTTGGTTGTTTTGTTTATACTCCATTAGACAGTGACTGATATACCTGCCCTGTCCTGCTGTGTGCTAAGATTGTTCAGTTGTTTTCATCATGGTGCTTTTGTTTTTGCCTTGTTGCTGCTGTCTGCTTTTTTGGAGTGGGGTTTTAAAAAAAAATTAACCCCCCCCCCCAACAATTTCGAAAGTAAAGCGATGAAAACGAACATTTCTCACCCCATAAGTGAGACAAAGAGGTATATCTCTCCTCCCCCGCTGTTCCGCTGAAAGTTTTCATCAGTTTTCACAGTGTCGATTTTTGACCACGTATCTTGCACACAGGACCTCCAAGATTGTTTGCCCTTGTCCGAGAAGGCTAGGTGTAGATCTTTCCTACCAGAAGATCAGGGGTGTTGGTGAAAGACAGCAGTAAGAAGGAAAAAAGAAGTAGCAGTAGAAAGGCTGCAAAAATAGTCAGGAGCTCAGAGGTGGAGACGAAAGCAGATGACAGTCTAATTGACAGAACATTGCTAGAGAGCAGGGAGGAGATGAACGGAGACAATTCTAAAGAAGAAAATGTTCCGTCGCTGTCAGGTTTCGAACCCGGGACGTACTGAATAAAAGGTGAACACCGTAGCCTCTAGACCACGAGAGCCTCCCCTACAAAACTGAACTTCTTCAAAGGTTACTCCAATAGACAGTCAAGTAAATAAGCCTACCCCCTCCTGCTGTGTACTAGAGCTTTTTTCCCTGGTTTTCATGATGGTAGTTTTGTTTTTGCCCGGTTCATGTTGGGGGTTTTTGAGGGCTTTTTCTGGTTTGTTTTTTAATAATTCATTTCGCAAGTAAAGCGATGAAAGCATACATTTACACGCCCATACATAAGATAACAAAGGGCTCTATCTCTCCTCCCCGCTGTTCCACTAAAGGTTGTCCGCCGTTTTCACAGTGTTGGTCTTTTTCGTTCCCGCGAAGGATGGCGAGGAGTCTAATGTCCACACAATGAATGCTGCAGGAACTTTTCCTCCTATCTCTATCTTTTTGTTGTTGTCCCTTGCCCATTTCTGTGAGATTGACGTTATCCGATTAGTAGAAAAATGTTCGTATGATAGTGTCCAATAGTGTATTTTAGTTTTAGTAAGAGTTTTACGACACTTGCAACACAATAAGGTCGTATAAGTGCTGAAGTTTAGAGGTGATACAAGAGCGTAACAAACACAAACAAGAAGGAGGAGAGATCAGGACAAAAGTTGTTTGATAGGAAAGAAGAAGCAAACAACACCAGAGCACCCGCCAACCACCCACCAATAGTTTATTACGTATATAATTGTTATAACATGTAACTGTTACATTATAGACGTTCAAGATAATTATAGATGTATTTGAAGGATCTGAGAGCAATGATGATTTTAGAAATGACGGTGGTGGTGGTGATAAGTGATGATGTGGGATGATATTCGTGTATATAATTATTAAGAAGACATGCTTCTGTTAGTTTAGTTTTTTTTAGAATGTTAGCGTTAGTCCTATCTTCCTCTGCTCCAATGAGTCACGAGGGACGTGGGCACCCTCTATCCCGTTCCCTACTGGAACCATCTTAACGGTCATCGTGAAGTTCTGATCTCTATCTGAGGAGTCCACTGAAAAAACGGGTATAGTCTCAAACTGAAAATCGTGAGGGTATCAATTTTGAACACTTGTTGACTCATAACTGTATTAATTTCTGTTCAGCTGTTGGTTGATTATCGTTGTTAGATTTCCCATCCAAAAAACATATAAAATAAACCACCAGTCAAATAATATAAAGTTATGAGTCAACAAGCTTTTAAAATTGGCACCTTCACAATTTGTGACTATGCCCGTTTTTCCTGGAGGCGGGGCAAAAGTTACTATTTGATACATCGCTACCCTAGCGTTACAAAGCTCTATCTGCTCAGTGCCAAGTTTTCAAAATTTGACGTTAAAAATGTTGACTTTCATAAGGTACGTCAAGCTTTTTCGAATGAAGTTCTTTGAATATCCTGACACCGACTCCGAATGATCTTACACCATTTCGATGGAGGGACATTTGGTTTCTGACCTCATTGTCTTAGAACTTAAAAACCAGCCAGAAATATCAGATAGATCTTTGTAACTCTGAGGTCGTTTCAACAGTTCACGGACCTGGATCTAGAGAGCGGGGTCAGAATCCTCTGCTTTGGAGACAAAGGGACATCACTTGTTTTTGTTTTTTTAAGCTTGAATTTTTTGCACCTTCACCGACACACTTTAGATCGTTCAGAGTCAGTGCCCGGGCACCGGAAGTCATGAAGTACCGGGGTGTCAAGATGTTACCCCGGTCCACAAAATGTCGCCCGGCCCGTCGTCAACATGATGCAACCCATGAAGTGGGAGCAGATCTTGACACTCTTTTGACACTCCA